CTCAGCATCACAAGTACCAAGTGCATGCTGGCCTCCAGATCTCTCAGCATCACAAGTACCAAGTGCATGCTGGCCTCCAGGATCCCTCAGCATCACAAGCTCTTTTCACCCCTCCCCAACCCTAAACTTCTGCAGATCATGGGCTTCCCTCCCAATGGTTACTCATTCTTATAGCCTTGCTTGTCTCCCCCATGCCTTCTCTTTTCCCCACTCTCTTCATCTCCCACTCCCCCCCAACCCCGCCCCTGCTCCTCTCAAGGCTAGGTCCAGTCTGCTGGCCAAGTTCAGTCTACTACTTCATTCTCTCTCTGCTCTGGACTGTTCCTGATGCCTCTGGTGGTTCTCTCTCTCATATCTACAATAAAACCTTCCCCTTAACCATACAGTTTATATAACAGTTGTAAATGTCCCCATGCTAATATTCTAGAACTTATGTGTGGCACTATTTCACTCTTAATGGCATTCCTTTTGGAAGAACACAGCACCGAGGGGTAGCACCCAGACCTTCCTAAGATAGTTATTTCAGTTAAAAAGATAGTCTCAAGTTAGAATCCTCTCTGTATATAAGAGCAAAGAGAATGCCCTTTCATTAAAGGTGGACACAGCTTCTACCATTGGAACCAGTCCTTGTAGATGAAGACGCTGGTTCCCTCCTCCTCCTCCATATTATTACTATTGCTATTGTTAATATCTAGAAAACAAAGCTTGCAAATCTTTCAGCAAAGGCAGTTGAGGTCCCCATATCTCCTTCTTACATAATGAGTCCTGTCATTAAGACAGCACCAGGGTGGGAGAGGGTGGCAGCTAGCCAGAATGGCCTGTAACATTTTGATAAACAAACATCGTATTTATCAGAGTGGCTCCCCTGTGCTTTCTTGTGTATAAGGGCAGGGAGTCCTCCCTAGGCCTGGATATAGTTTTCTCTGTATGAGCTAAATCTTGAGGGCCACTAAAGGAAAAAAATATGTTTGTACTCTGCTCCCTGGTTACCTAGGCTAATTTACTACACTAAGAGGTCTTAGAGCTGTTAATAATATACAAATACAAATCAAAGAGGAAATTGTCTCTGTTAATTGACTTTTGTGATGCTAATCTAAGACTCACTGGCTTTTCACATCGCATAGCAACTATTTATTCCACACTGGAACAAGTGACTTCAGAGAAAGCAAAAAGGCATCAGAGTTGGGGCTCGAAATTACTGCTTGGAATTTTAAAGACACAGCCCATCTTCCCTTGGCTCTCTTTATGAATTTGGAGACAAAGGACACAAAGAAAAGAGACAGGGAGAGACTCAACCATGGCACAATAGTCCAAATGTGCTCTCAGGGAAGGCCCTGCTTGGGGATGCCAGGTTCCTTGCCCCAGAACGGATGACTATGACAAGATTGGTTAGAAACATACCATTAGATTCTATATTGGGTCTAATTACAAGCTACACTCACTCATTTTAAGAAAGAAAACATGTATTCTGGCAAGGTGGAACATAACTTTAATCTCTG